GTGACATAGACGAGGTAGAAGCAGAAACTTGAACACTTCTTCGGGCGGCTTGCATTCTAACGCACACGCATTGTGAGGAGACGCCTCTGCAGTAATGGAGAGTTGTTTACTTCGGTTCTTCCCGGGATCGATCATAAACAAACGTGTAGGAACCTTTTACACTTAAACATGTTGTCATGGTCATCATTAGACTCATGAGAGGTTATAAAAAGAGTATTTATTTATTTATTTGTTAATTTAACATGCTATGGTGCTGCTAACATGTAAACTAACATGCTTTAGTTATATAACATTTGATCAGGTTTATAATTCTGTTCTCGTTCCCTTAAAGATCTTTGTTACTGAATAATATCAATAACACTAACAATGATTGCGTCCTCTCCATAAAGGCGTGCTTTGATATTTGGGTTTGATCTTTAGTGTGTTGTGCTAAATCCACTGCCAGTAGACAGCATTATAGTAATTCAACCGTTTGTATTGTAAAGGGATTTTTATGGAAATGATGTTTATCGAATGACAGGCTGACTGTTGTTTTCTTGTAGAATGAGAGAGAACAGATAATGACGACCAACCTGTGGCTGTTTCAGGTACGATTTCATCTTTCTAACTATCCAATGCACACACAGTGTTCAACACAAACTATTCTGGTGTGTTTGTCAGTAAGGGAGTTCATAAACGCTCTCTCTGCAGGAGTGGAATGACTACAGGCTTAGATGGGACCCAGAGAAGTACGAAGGCATCAAGAAACTACGAATACCATCCAAACACATCTGGCTTCCTGATATAGTGCTCTACAACAAGTACGTACGAGCACGTCATCCCACCAGAGAGAAGAGCAATGTGTGCATGTTTGATTTAGGTGATCTGGATCTTTCAGATCAGTGAGTGCAATGAAAGAATGCAACTCCATTTACAGCATGTGTTAATGTGTGTGTGGTGGAGTCATTTAATGGATTACTGTGTGGTATTAATGGAGTTAGTGTATATCATTCTATACTGTTAAGAGGTTTTCCAACAACATCAGGGCTTTACAAGCACAACATCTGCGAGAGAAAAGCACGTTACTCGATGGGGATTTTGGGTTTGTCTGATTATTATCATTGCAATGAAGGGAGAACAGGTCTACAGTGCTGCCTTAAGACTTCCAACATGTCTGATTTATGTGTTGATTGTAATCGCAGACTTTGAATCCATCCACTTTCTGATCTTACCTCTCACCCACAACCTCTCACAGTGCTGATGGCGTGTACGAGGTTTCCTTCTATTGCAATGCTGTGGTCTCCAACACAGGAGACATCTTCTGGCTTCCCCCGGCCATCTACAAGTCGGCCTGCGCCATCGAGGTGCAGAACTTTCCCTTCGACCAGCAGAACTGCACTCTCAAGTTCCGCTCCTGGACTTACGACCACACGGAAGTCGATCTGATGCTCACAAGCGACTTTGCCAGCCGCGATGACTTTACGCCGAGCGGAGAGTGGGACATCGTCTCGCTTCCCGCGCGCAAAAACGAGGACCCTGATGACATCACCTACCTGGATATCACCTATGACTTTGTGATCAAGAGGAAGCCACTGTTTTACACCATTAACCTGATCATCCCATGTGTGCTGATCACATCGCTGGCTATCCTGGTGTTCTACCTGCCGTCAGATTGTGGGGAAAAGATGACGCTGACCATCTCCGTGCTGCTGGCTCTCACTGTGTTCCTGCTGCTGATATCAAAGATCGTGCCACCCACCTCTCTCGCAGTGCCACTCATAGGTCAGTGATATTTATCAGCATCTTTGTGCTGCTGTAGGCAGTTAGGGGCGTGAACCATTGCTTACAGATGAGTCTCGCATTATTAAGTAATAAATATCTAAAATATGTCAAGACCTCTGCTAAGTTCTGATCAAAGTTAAATGAACAAATAACACACAAGTAACTTCTTTGATATCTTGTTCAAAGACATAAACATATCCTTCAGTCAGATTTTGCCTAAATAATCAGATTGTTAATACTTTTCCCGTGAACGACTAGTTTCACATTGTGGGTAATAAACGTTCTTGCAGGGATTACATGAGAAGATGAAAAGTGCTAGCATGTTCGTCGACCAGCACCTACCATTAATAAAGCCATAACATCTCATTTATTTAATCTGTAGAACAGCCAAAGTGTAAAAAGTTGTAATGTTTACGGGAGATTATATTGGACAATGTTTTTGCACCTCAGAGCAGCACATTGGTGAGTGTGACGCGATGTTGTTGTTGTACTGATGGAAGCAGTGATGTGGAATGTGCAGCCTGAAGAAGGTGAGCCATGCGGGACCTTTATTCTGACTTATTTGTTCATGTTGGACATCATGCCCACAATTGTTTCAGACTTATTCAATTACAGAGTAACACATGATTTTGTTTTCTCTCAAAGGTAAATACCTGATGTTCACCATGGTGTTGGTCACTTTCTCCATTGTGACCAGTGTCTGTGTCCTCAATGTGCATCACCGTTCCCCGTCCACCCACCACATGCCCGACTGGGTTAAACGCTTCTTCTTAGTCCGCCTCCCCACCCTCCTCTTCATGAGGCGTCCGGGATCTTCCAACGTCCGTGATAAACTCTGCAAGAAGTATGCAAACCGGAGTACCGCCGAGAAAAATAACTCCCAGAGCGGCACAGACAAGAGGCAGTATTCAAACGTCAGACTCGGTGGGATCCGAACAGATGCCGACTCTTTCTACGTGAATGAGGACTTGGCACACAAGTTTTGCTGGAAGGTGGACGACATCCCAGATGGGGGTGGTGGGTTTTCAGACTTCCGGAGGCCTTCGGGTGTTCAGTGGGATGCAGATGTGGAGGAGGCGGTGGATGGAGTAAGATACATCGCTGAACACATGAAGACAGAAGATGACGATGAAGGGGTGAGGAGATACAGCCGTGCTTAAAAGAATACATAAGTGATGATGAGCAGGAAGAGATAGGATCAGAGCATGAAAGAAAAGGAAGACAGAATACATTATTGGAAAGAATGAGGGAAGACAAGACCTATAAAAGCAGATTATGGAGATGGGTGATGACATGGCAATAAAGAGATCTGTACAAAAATGAAGAAGTTATCAGGGCCAGACAGATAAGAACATACCATAATGTCTTAAATCATTCAGTATTTGCTTTTGTCCTTCTGTCACATTATTCCAACCTGTCAACCTCAGAAACCCATGCACACACTCTCATAAACACAGACTGTCGGACTAACCCGAACCCCAGATGTGTGGCTATGGGCTCTAAAATCCCACCAAACTCTCACACTTAATATACATTGTAATTGTTCTTCATCAAGCAGCCTCTCTTCCTTTGGCTGCAGTGCAGTTCTACCCTGATGGCGCTTCATAGACACAGCTTCTCATCACTAATATTAAGCTGAAAGAGTTCGCTCCTTGAGTTTGTTAGAAGCGCTGACTTTACTGTCTCCAGCTAGCTTGTATTAAAATGAGAACCCAATAAAGTGCTTAAATATCCAGTTAAGGGCTGCACACCATATTGTGTTGTAAAATTGGTGTTGCAGAAGACATGGGGTGTAGCATCCAAACCTTTAGCAGAGTGTGAACCTGAAGTTGACACGTGTTTCTGGTCCTATGCACACAGCTCGCACCGACACCGCTCGTAGGTGAAAGCAAAACGTGTTTTATTGATCCAATTTCCTTCGTTTATTCTTAAAAGTACCACCGATTATCTCGACACACTCAGAAGATCCACAGGTTAATCCACAACATAATCCACATAACACGTTCCATATGCACAGTTTGAGTTTGAATGTCAGAGTAGCGCTGTTCATGTGTAGTCGAGCTGCTTGTCGACTTCAGGGAAGGGATGAAAAATGTGCTTGTTGCCAAGGAGGAGGAGGACGCAATGTGTTTAGCAAACATAATGCAATCTCAGCTCATTCTGTGGGGGGCTGCTGAAGTTTAAGCTCTCGGGACCTAGTTTCTAACATTACTTTTCACACAGTGGGAAATACCACAGTGGATGTGCTGGTCATAAACGGGTGTTTTTTCACATTAGACGTAACCCTGAACCTCACAGACTAGTTAGTTAATGATGTGCTCCGTGGCGTACTACTAGTAGTGCTAAACTATTATTGGACAGTCACTGTTTCGGGGACGGGTCTAGCAAACAATCACCTGTAAAATAGGTGGATTGTGAGCACACAAACCTTCAGAGACCCCTCATGAGTTTGTGTTCTTCTAGTTAAAACATGAACATTTCCCTGAAGGTCTGTTCCTACAAACTCACTTTGTCGTCATGATTTGATTCGTGTTAACAATCTGTAACTTGTTGGTTTGGTTCCAGATCATAGAAGACTGGAAGTACGTGGCCATGGTGATAGACCGTCTGTTCCTGTGGATCTTCATCCTGGTGTGTCTGGTGGGAACTCTGGGGCTCTTCATGCAGCCGCTGTTCCAAAGCTATAACACACCCACAGCTGATGACCCAGAGTGAGTCACATACACACTCTGAAACATACAACGAAGCACACAAGTCATTTAGACGTCTAAAATATGAAATAAACTTGCTGTTTTCTGTATACCAGATCAATGCCAATGTACATTTGCACTGTATTTGATTTTAACTGGTAACACACTGAGTCCCTTTGCAGTCGCCACAATTAAAGCTTTCCAAGTAAGAGAAAGTGTTCTCTTTATAAACTGCATCTGAACGGCGTTAGAGTTCATTAAGCTCCCGAGTGGACGAGATGACGGCGTGATTTCAACCTGCACTGCTGTTGTCTGATTGTTGATGCAGATTAATGGGCCCTCGGTTGAGATACAGTACGGTGGAATCAAGTATCCTGTTATTTATGAATAACGAGCTGCCTAAATCAGAGGAAAAATAGTTGATAATTGCTTTGACATTTTTCAGTCTGTTTCTCATACAATTGAAGGAATTTATGAACCAGAATCAATAAGCTAAAATCAATACGACAAATCAGAAGAGATAAATGTCTACATTATAGCCAAACCTGTCGTAGTTATTTGTGGTCATACCCTGGGTGCTGTGAGATACATGCATCACAGCATTCATGGAGCAGGTGCTCATTGCATGTCTTCTAATCTATCTCTATTCACTATTCTGTGTTTTTCTTTTCATAGGTACGGAGATTTCTAAGATTTGTGACATGAGATAGAAAACCACCAAATAATCGTCTCCCATAGAAACTATAAGTGAGAAGCTGCACCAGGTCTGATACGAACCTGATCCATGCAGCTGTGTTTGTAACAGTGGACCTAAAATAAAACACCTCTGCTCTCCTCTGCAGCACTGTTGATGTGAAAAATACGACATTATATGAATTATTGGCACAGTACAATGGACCACATTTCCTCCTGCCTCAAACCAAACTTCATTGTAACAACGCAAGAACAATGTGTCCTATCCACCTTTTCTCTTCATAAAGATATGAATCCATCACCTCTCTCGCTCTGTCCTTCTTCATGTTCTGCTTCAGAGCGCTGGGCCTCATCTCCACAATCCAGCGTTGTAATCGTTACCGCTTTGCTTCATTTTGAAGAATGTGTATTTTCTCCTCATCACTTTCCACTCTTAGCAGCACCAGGTTACATACAGTGTTCAGAATAAATATGACACTGACTGTATTCTATTACATGTTGAATAAAGAGGTCTGTATTGTATGTGCTATTCCCTCACTCTCATCTTCCACTTTCTTCCTCACATCTTCCCATTTACTTAAAGACTCTACCAACACTCAGCCCAGTGACTCCTGTGTGCTTAAAAATTACATTACCGACAAACATTTCCCAATTAATACAAGTGTCATTTCTGAATGCATTTGTACTTCCATGGGCCGACTGGTGTCATATTACTGTAGTTTGTTATCAAAATCAACTTGCAGACACTTGAAAATTGCTCAATATAGCGAATGCATCACAGTGAAACATATACAGCACTGGTGTTTATTGAAGCTAAATGCAATGTTAGAGTTTTTATTGTGTTAAAATCCACAGACCTGGTATAGTCCTGAAGTTGGTCTAAATGAAGGTTCCAGTCATGAATATGAACAGCTGCACTATATTAAAGTATTGTTGATAAACCAATGTTATTACTCTGGCTCATTAAAGTTCCACGCATGTTGCATTATTACCATAAAAGACACAGCAACTGTCATTTATTTTCACCACACCCCACATACGTGTATCGATCTAAAAGTAGTGCCAAACAAATCCACTGCTTCTTCATCTTGAGTAAAGTGTGCTGAACTCTTCTCTCCTGGTGCTCCAGAATATCACTGGGCTGCTTTAGAAAATTAAACTCTATATTCTTGAGCTTTTGTTAGAGATTTACAACTTCAGTTGAACAAATGTACAAAGAAATACTCCAAATAAATAGACTTTCAGTCGAGTCTCACGTGTAATATTTTGCACACTCTTTTTGCCATCAACTTTTCCACAGGCTCACAACAGATCATATCAAAAGATGTGAAAATGATTTACAAGCTCAGAATTTCTTTGACTCTATCCTCATGTTGTACCTGAAGACGCTGTTATACAGTATGTACTATATATATATATATATATATATATATATATAGTACAGTAAAAGAGAGGACGGGATAACTGACAGTAAGCGATAAAAGGAGGTGTTCAGCACTCAGAAGGGGGCAGACAGGGTTGGCAGAAAGTGGTACAAGTATTTTTATACTTCTCAAAAGTATAGTAAGAATAAGTATAGTAAGTATAATGACAGTAAAATGTCATCCGTGACATATTTTATCTGGATGACCTTAATCACATTATGAACTTTCCCCACACTTGTTTTCATCGTGCGTTGATCAAACGGCGTCCGATGACAAGCAGCTGTGTTTGATTTGCGTGTGTGTGAAGTCTTGTGAATGTGAGTGTTGCTGTGAAACACAGATTCAGTCAACATACATTTGTTCTTTGTAAAATGTTATTAATGTTCATTTCCTTTATTGGTGAGATAAAATGAACCACAGTGATCATTTGTAGCGACGCACACACCCTTTGCTTTGGTCAGTGGATCAATCTGAAGTGGAAAAAAGGTTGAACCCACATTCAGAGTCACATCCCGTTAATGGACATCCTGGTATTGTGTGTGTGTGTGTGTGTGTGTGTGTGTGTGTGTGTGTGTGTGTGTGTACGGGAAAGCCTCGTTCCTCAGTCTGACAGAAGAGGAAATGTGCTCCACAGCACTAATGCACTTTTGTTCCATGCGTGTGTGTGTGTGTCTGTGTGTTTGTGAGTGCATGTGCCCAAATTTGTGAACCCCATCTGCCAACCAAAAGGTAATATCAGGTGAAAATAACATCACCTTCCAACTGTCGGCAGCCTCTGAAGACAGAGCACACTGGTGCTTTGAATGTCCTACCACTGAATGAACACACACACACACACACACACACACACACACACACACACACACACACACACTATGATAAGATTTAACTCGCCCAAATCCTTTATCTCAGCAAAAGTGAAGTAATCGAGCCGGCTGTAACACCGTGTTACAGTTAAGAGTGCAAGCAGGAATCTAAAGTAATGAATAAAGAGTTATAATAGTTATCTAAATGTAAAGGTATTTAAAGCAGTAGTTTACTAAAGGCAATGGGTACACAGTTAGCATAGTTAGCTAAAGGTAAGAAATGGACAAATGAATTAGTTGCTCAAAGTAATAAATTGATTAAACAGATCAAATAGTTATCTAAAAGTCATTGATAAATAAGTGTTGCCACACTAACAATGAACTAACTTGAGTTACAGCTTTCATTTCTCTTCCAACTGCGACTATGATTTCTGAACGGTGTCACAGTTCTTCACGGAGCAGCACTTTTCCAGGACACTGATCTCTCTCCATCTCCCCACCTTCTGCAGCCCCCACCCTCACCGTCTCATCTCTGCTGCAGCCTTGATTTAAGGGAAGCTAGTTTTTCATATCAGCAGTTTTTGTCCAACACACAATGTTCACACGAAGCCTTCTGTCCATGAGTTAAGGTACAGTAGCTATGATGACTGAAGTGCACTTTCTCAATAGCCACAGCTCACAGTGAGTATTCAGCATGCTCTCATGCAATAGCGCACAATTCTCTTAAATTCCAATAATTAATTCTCTGAAAAATAAAGCACTGTTTTAAGCCAAATATTTATGAAGGTGCCACATGCAGCTTAATGTAGAAATAGCTTAGTTCTTGTCATTTAGCTTTTATAAAAATATTCATAGCACTAGATAAGTTTACATTTTCAAGAAGATCTTAAACACATCGTTGCATTGGCCTTAAAGGAATAGTTTCTATTACCACATTCTGAGATGAGAATGTGGATCAGCAACCACTCATGTCTGTGTGTTGAATATAAAGTTACAGCTAGAAGATAGTTAGCTTAGCTTAGCATAAAACTGGAACAGAAACTGGAAACAGCTGGGCAAACAGCTAGCACAGCTGTTTGCCCAGCTGTTTCCGAAGACACAGCTCCCGTCAAACAACAAGGTATCGTATGTACATTTACAGATTGAACAAACAAGATTACATTTGTTTAGTCAGTGATCTGTAGAGCTGCTGGTAGACAGATTTCTATACCTTTGGACAGAGCCAAGTTTGCTATTTCCCCCATTTCCAGTCTAAGCTAAGCTAAGCATCTCCTTGCTGTAGCTTCATAGTTAATTATGAGAATGGTATCAATCTTCTCAGCTAACTGTAGGCATGAGAGGGAATAAGCATGTTCCACACAATGTTGAACTATTCCTGTAGTATTCCCTATTATCTTAACTTGAACACAAATCTTCAACAAAGCTTTTATTTATAGCTTGTCTTTACATCCAATTTAGGTAATCCTCAAATAATATTCCTCTTTTCGTTTTATCATTCAGACTACCACTGAATCTCCAGCACTCACTTCTATGTGTTTCTTCGTTAAACGTAACAACATGACGGGATGCCTCCATCAGACTGATGTTCGTGTGCCCTGTGATGTGTGCCGGGGTTAACAGAGGTCTGCATCATGGCGGATAATCCGGCTCCCTGCGTAGCTCAAGTTTCCTAAGGTTGCTCTCCTAAATAAGCATGTTTTGTTGGGCTCCCCTGCAGTCATCCAGAGGGCTTGTTCTGCTCCGTCTACCCGCACTGGTGCCTGAGGGTAGAAACACTACTGCTCCTTCACACACTCCACCAGACCTGGACACGTGCCAGGCTGCATCTCTGTGGCCCAGTCCATCTTTCTCTTCCCTTTATTAACCTCCATTCTCATCATCCTCATCTTCCTCCTCCTCTTCCCTTTTTCTGCTCTTCCACTCCTTCACTCCCTCCGCCCCTTTTCAGTCTGTTTTAAATTGCGTGTGGAGAAATATGAACTAAAAATACGCCAGTGATAAACCCAATTATCTGTCCTTTTTCACGCTACACGCCCAGATAGCTTAGAACATGGGACAGGCTGTGCGCCAAATACCAGCCTTCAGTGTAGATCTCTGTCTTTGTAATTTAGGTACGGTACTTTATCGACTGCTGTTACCGGTGTGGAACTACAAATCAACTGAATGCACCATTCACTCTCACTGTAAGAAATTGAAATCGATTTTTGATACAATTATTAATTTGGACGAGAGAAGTATTGTATCTTCTTCAGTGAAAACTAGCAGAGAGCCTAACAGCCAAGATGAAGTTGTGCTCGTGCAGCGGTCGGCTGCTCCCTGATGACCCTGCAGTGTTACTACTTCCTGAGTTTTCACTGTGTGTTTGTGGCTCCTCCAGATATCACATGCTTAGCACGATGGCTTAAGTCAGCTTGTCCCACAGGATAACCCGCTTTCAGCAGCACACACTACTTGATCGCTGTGTGCGTCAGCTTGCATGTGTGTGAACGTGTGTGTGTGCTGTCTGAAGATGACTGGAAAGGACACCAGCAGAGAAACACTGCAATGAGAAATGAATGCAAGACGAATGCCTCTGTCCTCTGAACAACTCTGAATATTTAACAGACTTATTCTGTTACAGGCTGCACATCACCGATGCACTCTCCTTGGCAGCTGAGTTTAAAGTTTGTCTTTTCAGTTCATTTCAGATATCCAAAGCATGTACAAACATCCCCAGTATTCACAGTACATTAGGTCTCTAATTATACTCCCCTTCCTCTTCTGCCACCACAGCGATGAATATAAGATACCCAGCTCTGCAGACAGTAATGAGTGCGGTGCTCTTAGACAGCACTTATGATGTACTAACAGAGGTTTGAGCTTGTTTAAATATTCCTCCTGCCTGTGGCTCGAGTGTCAGATACTCCTTCCCTCGCTATCACAAGCTGTAACAGTCAAAGCATTGCCAGACTGGTGATTTATACCCATCAGTTTACAATCCCTGCAATCTCCTCACACTGAGACCTTTGGAGCTCAGTGATTTGCGTGACTGTGACTGTGTGCATGTGAAGACACATATGGGGACAGAGTTCAGGACTTTAAACTAGTAATCTGGGAGTTGTATATATCATCTGGGGCAAACATTGGTGTCCCCAATTTGATTTATTGCAGTTATAATCAGCATATATTTTGGACCACATGCAGCAGACCATATGACATTTACTGTCCCAGAGGTGTGGGTGTCTCTGTGTGTGTTCACGTTTAGCTTCAGTGTAAAATATGTTACCTGCTGCTGATGTAAATCATCTCTATGTAGGTGTACACTGACACTGTAGAGCTATAGATCTACGTGGGTAGAGTCAACCAAACCATTACTTTCCTTAATCAGACAAATGAGCAGATGTGTTTGTGTAGGTGTTTGTAGCTCTTCCACCTGTATCTATCGGTGTGCGTGTGCATTAAGCTGATAATCCTTCGTTCAAAAACAAGGTTGCCCCTGTTGGCAGTCCTCATGGGATTTTATGTTGACACAACCAGATGTGTTGATATCATTTATTTAAAGTCTTTGCTGAGGTTGCTTCTCTTCTGAATATACACTTCGTAAGAGTTGATTGCTTTTATTATTACCTTTTTTAAATTTCTTGAGAATTGAAAGGATAGAAAAGATTGCTCTCATGTGAATTAAGATTCAATGGTTGCAATTAAGCCCCCATTGAAGCAATACAAAGACATTCATTTCATTACAGCCAGGGTTTGTAATCTTGAGAAACTAGTTTGAGTACGCTAGATAAAAAAAAAATGATCCAACCAAAAAACCTGAAAGTCATGCCTTCTGCTTTGTCCATATTGCATCTATGACCTCTTCACTACTCTACCACCACTCTTATTTCTTTTCTCACCATATAAAGAAGACGTGATATCCACCTTCCTGCTTCCTAGAAGCTTCTAGAAGCCTCTGATCACCGGCGCTCCATTAAACCCCACCTCAGTGAGACGATCACGTCAGGGAGAATGAGAGAGGCCATCCACATTTCATTACGCAGAGTTGAAAATAAAAGCACTTCTCTCGGGGTCAGGGGATGTGGTGCAGATATGTGCATGTGAATAATTCAAGATGGTCTAAAAGTTCTAGCGAGGGAGATAGATATTTTTATACGTTGTGTTTCACTTAAGGCAGAGAGATGGCACCAGTGTACATTGAATGAATGAGAGCAGGTGCAGTGGGGGAAGAATGTTAGAGGTGTGTGAGGTGAAAGGAGAAGGGCATCAGAAAGCAAAATATATTCAGCAAGTAAGTCAAATGTTTTATAAAAGAGGACTGAGAGGAAAAGAACGGTAAAAAAAGGAGGACCCAGATTGATAAAGATATTTTGTGTAATGTTGGGATGACGGCTGAAAAGAGAGGGAGTGCAGAATGGAGAGATGACGCTGTGGAGAGAAGAGAGGATGACACTAATGGCTTTTGGGCTCGGTGCATCCATCTTTTATGAAAAACATGAATTAAACATCGCCCAGGGCAGAGCAGCAGCACAGGCCATGGTGCGTCACGTTAAACAGTCCTGGCAGAAACGTTGATTCTCACCTAGTTCCTCCTTTTCAACCGCTTCACTAATAAAGCTGGTGAAGACAAGCGTGTCGTGACGCCACACTGTGAGCTCAGCACTTGTCAGATGGCGACACAAGCAACAGCAAAAACACATTATCCCCACCATGCTTATTCTGTTTCTCTTCATGCATCCTTTTCATGCAGCGCTTGGGATTAGACTCGGTAAACTCCTTACAATTGCTAAATAAGAAAGAGAAGGAGAAATGTACAATGTTTTGATGGTTTTACTTGTGTTGAAATGAGGCGATACTGTCTGTTGTGACACCACGCAGATGTTGTTGTGAGATTGTCTTTATCCTCGGTAATATTGCCTGAGGGTGAAGGGAAGGTCTTGACATAGAGTCTGTGTGTATAAACGCTCGTGTAAATACAACTATATGCTACATATACTAACAGGATATTTATATCCCACATGCACATCTGGTAGAGTTTTACCAGAGGCAACGCCCTCTTCCACTTCAATATCATAATTGTGACGTCGTAATCGTTTCATCCAGTCTCATATTGCATTACTTTCATCAACCTTTGTAATTCATTTAAAATATAATAATAAATTAAACTAAATTATGATTATTGGTGTATTGGATGAATGTCAGTGATTTCTTGGTGTTCCTGGATTTTCTAAACTACATGAGGGGATGCAGTATATCAAAACAGATCAAGAGAACATGATTTAAACAAATCATTGTATTTTTTGAACAATAGGTCACATATTTCAACAAACTAAAACATCTCTCGTGCTTTTTCAGGATAAAATAAAAATAAACCCTTTTGGAAAGTCACAGGACTAAGTCGGTAGTGGTGTGAACGGCCTATTGTCTGATCGTATGCCCCTAGAACAACTAGAATAAAGCTGAACAATAAAATAAATCATTAAGTTAAACAAAGCGAGGGGGTTGTGATGGCAAAAGTTCCAAAATCACTCCATAGTGCCAAACTACATAACACAAATGTGGCCGTCTGTGTGTGTGTGCGTGCGTGTATAAGCAAGTGTCAGACAGGCACACATACACACACATACATCCAACCATTGAGTGTGTCCCGTTCACTTTCTACCCACTCGCTGAAGGTTTTTGTGTCGGCTCGGCTCGGCTCAGCATTACTACCTTAATTACTTTGTTTGATGACGTCAAACCAAGCGTGGAAAATCGCGGGCTAAAATTAAACACAATCAGCGCGATCCGGAGACACCTGGGGAGCAAATAACACGAGCAGCCTTCTGAATGAGACAGAAACGATGTTTCAGAGCAGCTACACGTTCCTCCTCAGCACAGCGCAGTGCTGCAGTTTAGTGGCTGGGAAAGGAAACAGCAGGCCAAACGCTCCATCTCTAATCTGGGATTTAGCAACGCAAACAATCTGCAGTTATGCAAAGATTGTACTTTGGGACACTCTGACACATGTTTCACAAAAGACGTTTCAACATCTAATCGTTTCATGCAAAATAAACATGGTCTAAAATACTAATAACACATGACGTCTCCCTCTCAATAAAGTAAGTGCACGTCAGTATAACGCAGCTGACTTCAGCACCACCGACAGCTCTCGTTGAAACTCATTGACGCTGTCCGTGGTGCTGAAATCATCACAATCGTTATCTCCACACACACCAGGCAGGGCTACAGATCATTCAGTTCTGCATTTACCGTCACACGAAAACTTTCTACCACGTTTATCAGCTGGAGATCGGAGCATTTAGAGCAACTGCCGACTACTGAAATGTTTTTTAAGTCAGACACTATTCTGTTTCATTATTGTACTTACTGACCTTTTTATGGCTCAGCCACAAACAAATTAACGGGCATTTGAATGTCCCGCAGTGTGAGTTAAGTTCAGGATATTTTACTCGATCTTTGTTCTGTTCGAACCTAAAGAAAACTGCGCCGCGGTGGGTGCAACCCTTGCCTTTACTTACTATACCAGTGCCAAACATTTCTCCTTAATATAGGCTTCGTTGTTGTTGTGTTTACAGATACATTTTCTCTTCCTGTCATCCACGGAATCAAATTACGCCTTTTTATCCTTCAGAGCAAGTCAGGGCGGCTCTTTCCTCCCTGCGTGGAGTCCGTATGGATGCGCCAGAGGGGAGCTTTGCACTCATAGGGGAGGGACGAACGAAGTCAAGTTCGGATCAGATCAGGAAGGAGCGCACCGGCAGAGCGAGACAGACGGTACCAGGGGAGAGACGCACGTTTTCATGCCATTACACATTATTTATTTCGCTCATCGATTGAACAGACAGACTTTCTTCAGAAGAAAAAAAAGTGAAGCGGATCCCTGAAACGACACGGGGGAGATGCAGCCGGCGGCGAGATGGACTTTGCTGCTTCTTTCCGCGGGTTTGATGGCGCGAGGTAAGTAGGATGCAAGCTAGGCGCATACATATATATAATGTAGTTTAGATTCTTTCAGGTACGTATTCATTCCAGAGCTGTTTGGTTTAAAAGAGGAGGTGACGATAAGGTGTGAGGTTTACGCGCCAGTGACTAGACAGTTAACTTGGACATTTTGTGATGCTTCAGTTGAACGCTTTTTAAAAAGATATATTTCATCTGTGCGAAGTCAGCAATAACGTTATTGAGTTTCTGTCCAGTGCGGCAAAGCCGAAGAAGTTCATCTGACATTAGATCAATAGTCATCGATAATCAGTCTAATAACTTTTTTCCAGTTTGGTTGTTTTGAAAATGTCAAAATAGTCGTTTAATTGTCCAACGATTTAAAGGCAAACGGTCAACTTCAGCCTCGTGAAGTCATTTGAAATTGTTATCTATGTCGTCATTCTCGTGTCATATTCCTCATCCATGACTCGGTTCCGTGTTAAATAGGGCAACAAAATGAAATGCGGAAGAATCCCAGAGATGAATTTAGATGAATGCAAATTTAGTTTTGAGGCGTAAATCGTGAATTAAGGAAACCAAAACAGATTATAATTTGTTTACAGGATGTGTTCACGGCTGGTGAGAGAGTGGAGGGCCTGTAGTGCACTGGCTGCCACCACTGTATAATTCAGACAGAGGGCAGATAGGTGGGCTTCTGCAGGATTTTAATAAAAACCTCTCATCGTCATGTGCATCTATAAGTCTTACAGCCTTATTTCATTTTACCCCAATTATGGTATGAATAAAAAGTTGTATCTACATGTAATTACTGTGCTTGCTCCTGCACTACTTTATGAAAAGAGAGAAGTATATTTTTAGTGAGAATATTTTGTGAAGTTTGGTCATTTTAGGTTATTTTGATGGATCCTCAATTTATCAAAATAATTATTTTTGGGGTACAAGTTGTGTTTCTGGGTTAGGTTTAGTAAGTGAAGATCGGGTGGGAGTCATATTATGGTTGTATTGATGGTGGAGCTTAGGAATTGGTAAAACAAAAGAGCACACACATATATATATATATATA